CACAGCATCAATACGCGCCGCAGCAACCGCCACCAAAGCATCAATATGCGCCGCAGCAACCACCGCAGCAGCATCAATATGCGCCGCAGCAACCGCAGCAGCAGTATCAGTACGTGCCGCAGCAACCGCCACCACAGTATCAATATGCGCCGCAACCGCAGCAGCAGCAGCAATACGTGCCGCAGCAACCGCAGCAGCAGCAGCAATACGCGCCACAGCAGCCGCCCCAACATCCGTCGTACCAGCAACACCAGCAGCCACCGGCGCAGCAGTACGCACCGCCCGCTCCGCAATCGGTGCAACAGTACGCGTCGGTGCGTCATGATGCGCCTACTCCGCAACCTCAGGTCCAGCGACGCGCCGAGGCGGAAGTAGAGTATACGACATCTCCGTCCAACGTCAAGGAACGAGCCGCCGCTTTCGGTCAAGTCACCATCAAGCCAAAATCGGCGTCTCCGGCCGCGAACCCGAGCGTGCAGACGTATTCGAACACCGGTACGTCGACGACGAGCGCGAGCGCACACGCGCTCGCGCAAATCATGCGGCAAGAGCGTCCTGAGCAGAGCAAAAAGGCGGAGACTCCCGAAGAGCTCAAGCGCAAGATTGAAATCTTGCAGCGTCTCGCGCGATCGAGGGGCATTAACTTGTAAGTCTACGTAAGCTATGTATATGTTAACTTGTACTACGTCTATCATTTCTTCCCTTTGCCACCGCGCCTGGGCGGCCCTCCCTTGTTCATCTTGTCCATCTTACCAAGCACGCCGTCCATGCCTCTGCGAGAGCCTCGCGAGTGTCCGGAGAGTTGCTCCTTCCATGCGCCCTCCGCGGCGAGACCTTCGTCTTCACCGTACTCGTCGGCGCTGCGTGCCTTACCCAGGCGTTTCATGGATTGACTCTTGGGTGCGCTTGCGTCGAAGAAGGCCTCGCGATTTCCAGTCACGCGCGCTCTCTTCGTCGTCTCCCTCGCCTTCTCCATCTTGGCGCGTTCCTTCAACGGTAAGTCAGCCTTCGTGACGCGACCGTCCTTGAACGCGTTGGCGTGGAATTCATCCTTTGCGGCGTACATTTTTGGTTCTTTATCCTCTTCGATGTCGTCGTCGTCATCGTCGTCGACCAGTTCGAAGTGGTCTTCAAGCATCTCCTTGCGCGCATTCTTCGACATCTTCGGCGCGTTCGGGTGAAGCATCTTGAAAGTCTCATCGTCCTCATTGATTTCGTACGCCGAATCCTTGAACATGGCCGCGAAACGATCGTCTTCGAGCAAGTTTCCACCCGGAGCCTCGCCGGCGACCTCGTCGCCATCCTCGTCGACCAACTCCTCTGCCCCGTCGCCCGCCTCGGCCTCTGCCCCCAAGCGTGCGGCGAGCACTGCATTGACCTTCGGAGCTTTCTTCTTGATCGTGATTCTGCTTTGTCGCTCCTCTTCGAGCTTTTCCTTGATTTTCTTCTTTTTGAAGTCGTCGTACGAGAACGGTTCGGCGATCGCCTTGGCCTTGCCGTACAGACGGTTGTCCATGAAGAAACCGTGCATGTACGCCCGGAGCATCTTTGTCCCAATCAAGTGCGACAAGTGGAGCTTTTCCAACTCCTCCCTGGTGATGAACCTGTAGTCGTCGTATAGATTCTCCTGGGTCCGTTCTTCCATCTCCTCCGTGAGGTTTTCGAGGAAAGAGCACCACTTGGGCGCGGCGCCGAGGGATGGGGTGAAGAAGACGCTCAACTGCGTGTGGTCCTGCGCCATCATCATCAGCCCCGTCTTGTCCCACAAGCAAAGGTCGTTGATTTCGTATCCGGGTTCGATCGAAGTGTACGGTTCGCCCGTCTTCTCTTCCCAAATCTTCACAATCTTCTTATCGGTGGAGACGAGTCTTCGAACGCCGTCCACGGTGGTGTGATACTTCAAGTCGACGATTGGAAACCCGTTCATGTGATCCTTCACGCGCAACGGCCTAGAGCTTCGCAGGTCGAACAGCCTGACGTAACCGCCTTCGGTGCCGACCGCCATCTGTAATCCGTTCGGATCGAACCGGAGCGCCGTCACGCCGCCCTCATCGTCCCTATCGACGCATCGAATCGCCGCGCACGATTTCCGCGCCCGCAAATCGAAACACTCCACCTCACCGTCCCCACTCCCCGCGGCGAACAAGCCGTGCGTGGGCGATATCCCACACACGTTCAACTCATCGCACTTACTCTCCAACGGCTGCAAAAACCGCCCTTGCTCGAGATTCAACCTCCACACCTCGCTCGAGCTCCCCACCACGCACAAATCCGCCGTGTTCTCCGAGTAACACACGTCCCGCCCTTGCTTGGGCGTTCGCGTGTTGTAGTAATTCCCAAACTTGGCGTGAAACCTGATTGATCTATCGGCACAAATAAACGCCAATTTCGAGTAATCATCGCTCAGGCAACAGAAATCAACAATCTCCGCGTCCATGTGCCGGCACCACTTCATGCTCAATTGCGAGACGTCGTAGCACTTCACCTGCGGCGGGTGCAACCCACTGACGATCAAAAACTGTCCATCCGGCGACGTCTTCACCCTCGAACTCGACGCGGTGAAGCTCAAATCTTGCACCAGCTCGATCCGTCGCTGGTAGTCCTCTCGCTTTCGTAATTTTCTCTTGCTCTTTTCCAGCTTGGCCCACTCCGGGGCGGCGCGCGCGCTGGAGACTTCGTAGACTTTGATCCCGTTCAGCTCGCGGAGCCTGAGCGAGCTCGCGTCCACGGTGGCCATCGCGCGCGCGCGTTCGCACCGGGCCGCGCGACGGGGGCTCGGGCGGCGGGAAATGCGGGACGGGTGAAATCCACCAGCCGCCACCTCGAGCTCGAGCGGCGCGGCGGGACGAATGGGCGGCGACCGCGCGCGCGGCGAGCGACGGACGCGATCGACGCCGTGGACGTGGGACGTGAGAGATGACGCAAATGACAACTCGCGAGCTAATCTTGGGAGATCTCCGGGAGATCGTTCCCCCAGAGCTTGGTTCCGTGGTTTTGGTACCGACGACACGCGGCGAAATACATCGCGTACGCCCCGAGCGCGACGGCGCCGCCTAAAAAGTTCCTCGCCACCGGCGTCCACAAGTACTGCAACGGATTCACGCTATCCGCGGGTAAGATCCCACACCCCTGAAGCATCTCCCGCTCGCGAACGGTGTACTTTCCCGGCGGGAGCAACAGTTTCATCCCGGGTTTCAACGCGCCGAGTTTCGGGTTCAACCGCTCCACGTCCGCCCGCGCGATCTTCCGACTTCCGATGATATCCTCCAGGCTCTCCCCCGCCCGCACCGGGTACACGCGAGGCGCGTTCACGCCTTTGATCCCATCGATGATCTCTCGATCCCGCGCGCTCAGATTCATCGACGGGAGTAAAATCGTCGACCCCGCCTCGGGTTCGCCCCCCCCCGCGAGCGACGTGTTCAATCGTCGCACGTCCGTCGCTTTCATCGATCGCTTCGACGCGATCGACTCCACGGTGTCACCCTTACGGACGGTGTACGGGCGCATCGCCGCGCGCGCGCGCACGCGCGTCCCGCGCGTCGCGCGTCGCGGCGTCGCGCGCGATCGCGTCGTCGTCGTCATCATGATTCCCGTCTCTTCCCACCGCGCGCGCGCGCGATCGACCGCGCGCGCGCGTCCGGGCCGCCGTCGTCGCGCGCGCTCGACGTGCGCGCGCGGGCGTGTGCGCGCGACCGCGACGGGCGACGGAGGGACGATCGACGGCGACGCGATGGAAATCCCGAGTCGGTGTGTAGGGTTTAGGTGTAGGGTTTAGGTGTGTGTCGGTGCACGGTGTCGGTCATCGACCCACGCGCGAGGGTCGATCGGATGATCGAAAGGGACGACGCACCTTTCGAGGACAAAACCACCGGTCGCGCCCACCGACGCCGACGCATTCGCGCGCGTCCGCGCGCGGCATCGCGCGCGATGGCGTCCTCGGCGTCGGCGACGTCGTCCACGTCCTCGGGGTCGGATCGCGAGGCGCGCGCGCGCGCGGCGAAGCGGGCGCGACGAGACGCGGCGGTGTACGGGTCGTTTTTGGATGATTTCAAAACGACGCGAACGGACGGTGACGCTCGCGACGACGACGACGACGACGACGGGCGTCGATCGAGCGGCGTGAGAGGGGTCGGGATGGGTGCGCGGATGACGTTCGTTCGGGAAGTCGGCTCGAAGGGGGGGGCGAGGGCGACGGCGGCGAGAGAGGGCGCGGCGGCGGCGGGACGCGGGACGGATGGCGGCGGCGGGCTCGGATTCGGCGGGTTCGCTCGAGGGAAGACGATGACGGACGCCGAGGCGAAAGACGACGACGAGAGCGATGGAACGAGCGTGAGCGGTGGGGTGGAGGGGGAGAGCGAGAGCGAGGATGATTTGTTGCCGTCGACGTTCGGACAGAGGTGGGAGACGGGACGCGCGACGCGCGACGCGCGCGCGGAGATAAAGGCGTCGATTGGAGGCGTTCGTGGACGACTGACGGTGATGTTTTTGGGAAATCGTAGGTTAGTCGCCGGGGCGGCGGAGCGGGCGAAGACGGCGGCGGAGGCGCGCGCGAAGGCGGCGGCGAAGCGCGAGGCGGATGCAAAGGCGGCTCGGGCGAGGAATACGGAGAGGGGGGACGTGTTCGCGGGGACGAGCGCGCGTCGAGACGGAGGTCAACGTGGGAAGCAAGCCGATGACGTCGGTTCGTTCGAGAAGCACACGAAGGGGATCGGGATGAAGCTGTTAGAGAAGATGGGTTACAAAAAGGGGGAAGGCTTGGGGAAAGGCGCGAGCGGGATCTCGCGCGCGTTGGAGACGCAGCTTCGACCGAAGAACATGGGCATGGGATTTAACAATTTCAAGGAAAACGTCAACGATCCGACGAAAACGGCGCCGAAGGGCGTAGAAGAAGCTGAGAGCGATGAAGAGATGGACCTCGGCGAAACCGCCAGGGCGCGGGACGAGGCCAAGCGCGCGAGAGAACAGTCGATGTGGAAGAAGCGACATAATTTACGCCGCCAAAAGCGCGAATATAAGACCGCAGAGGAAATGTTAGCGGAAGAGGACCAGAAGGCGAACGATTCGTCCGCGACTCGGGGGGCGACGCTCGACATTATAGACATGCGAGGCACGCACGCGCAGGTGGTGAACGCAAAAGAATTGCACAAGGCGCGAGTGCTTCGCTCGGGAGAGGTGGAGATGATGCTCCCTGAGCTGCAGCACAATCTCAAGCTCGTTGTTGATCTCGCGGAGAGCGATATCACCAAGCTCGATGGAAAAATACGAACCGAGAAGGACACGCTCGAGATTTTACGACGGGAAAAGGTTCGATTGTCCAAGCAAGCCGAGGCTCACGATGCACTGGCCAAGCAGACGAGGAGTGCTCTCGAACTTGTCCAAAGATGCGACGAACTCGAGAAGGCGTGTAAATCGGGCGAGGACTTTGACGCTCTCACGAAGGCGTGGACAGAGGTCGTCAAGAAATTCCCAAAGGAGTACCACGGGCACAGGCTGCATCGTCTCGCTCTCGCTCACGCGGCACCGTGGGTACGATCCATGTACGCCTCGTGGGATCCTGCGACGGAGCCAACTCGTGGCTTGAACGAATTAAAGCCATGGCGAGCCTTGCTCGCTCCAGATCTGGTCCCGGATGAGTACAGAGGCGTGTTCGAGGACGACTCGTACGAGAATTTGCTTCGAGAGCCAATGCTCTCGAGGCTTCGTCCGTTCATATCTTCAAATTGGGATCCAACGAAAGCTTCGGAAGTGCTTGACTTCATAGAAGCTTGGTCCTCCACCATGCCCAAGGCGCTCATTCGCGAGATCACGCATTCGCTGGTGTTACCCAGACTCCTGCGTCGCGTCGCTGAATGGGAGCCAACAAAGGAGCGCATTGCACTTCATTCATGGTTCCTCCCATGGTTGCCCCACTTGCACAAGAATCTCAAGGATGTTTATCCTACGATTCGACAAAAGTTCAGCGTGGCACTCACGGATTGGGATGCGAGCGACGAGAGCGCGTTGACTCTCTTGAAGCCATGGCGGCGAGTGTTTGAAGCGAAGGATTGGTCGTCACTCATGCGACGCTGCATCACGCCAAAGCTCGAAGACAAGTTGGCCGTGCTTCAGATCAATCCATCGAACCAATCTCTCGATCCGCTCACGTGCGTGCTGAAGTGGGAAAGCGTGCTCGGCTCGAGCGCATTCATGACGCTGCTCGAGCAGCACTTCTTTCCGAAATGGCACGCGGCGCTTCACAAGTGGCTCACCGCGGGCGGTGCGAATTTGGACGAAGTCGCGCAGTGGTACATTGGGTGGAAATCCAGCTTTTCGGAGGAGCTTCTCTCCCACGAGCGCGTACGCGTGCAGCTGAACGTCGCGCTCAACATGATGAACCAAGCCGCCGCGGGCGAGGGCGTGGTCAAGCCGAGCGTCGCCGCGCCGCAACCCGCGGCGGAGAAGCGTGCGCCGCCGCGACCCTCCGAGGAAGAAACCGCCACTCTCAAGGAAATGATCGAAGAATTCGCCAACGCGCACGATCTCGAGTTCATTCCAAACGTCTCGGGCCGTCGGCACGACGGTCTCACCGTGTACTCATTCGGCGGCGTGAGCGTCGTCGTCGACGCCGCTCGCGAGTCCATCCGCGCCTCCGTAGACGGTGCGTGGATCCCCATTAGCTTAGACCAACTCTTAGAGCGCGCGAGATCGCTCGCGTCGCGACCGTAGAGCTTCGCCGTGTCGCTCACGCATCGACGTTCGCTCCGTCTCCGCGCCGCACTCGCCGTCTCTCCCCATGGACCGCCCGTCCGAGTCCGCGTCCGCGCTCGACGCGCGCGCCGCCTCGACCGCGTCCTCCGTTCGCCGTTTCGTGCGCAATCAGGTGCGCCGTCGCCCCTCGATCGAACCGAGCGACCGGGACGCGCCGTTCGCGCCGCAGGAATTTCTCTCAAACGCCCGACTGACGACACGCACCTCTCGCAGATCCCCGATGAGATCGCGAACGACCCGGCGTTGACGTCCGCGATGCGCGTGTTACCGGAGAACTACGATTTCGAGGTGAAGAAGACGGTGTGGCGCTTGCGGCGGGCGAACGCGCGGACGGTGGCGCTGCAGTTCCCGGAGGGTCTGTTGCTGTACGCGACGACGCTGGCGGACATCTTTCAGACGTTTGCGAACGTGAAAGACGTGGTGATATTGGGTGATGTGACCTACGGTGCGTGCTGCGTGGACGATTACACGGCTGAGAGCCTGGGGTGCGATTTTTTGGTGCACTACGGACACTCGTGTTTGGTCCCGGTGGACGTGACGCGAATGAAATGTTTATACGTCTTCGTCGATATTTCGTTCGACGTCGGCCACCTGTGCGCGTGCGTGGAGAAGAATTTCAAACACGGGTCCAAGTTGATATTGGCGGGGACGATTCAGTTCGCGAGCGCAATTCAGGAGACGAGGACGGCGCTGGTGGAGAAGTATCCGTCGCTCGCCGTACCGCAGGCCAAGCCTTTGTCCCCGGGAGAAGTCTTGGGATGTACGGCGCCCGTGATCGAGGACGCGAAGGATAGGGACGCGATCGTGTTCGTCGCCGACGGGCGATTCCATCTCGAGGCGATCATGATTGCCAATCCTACCATTCCCGCGTACAGATACGACCCGTATCAACGCGTGTTGACTCGCGAAGAGTACGCGCACAAGGAGATGCGTCAGGTCCGCCGAAGCATGGTTGAGCGCGCCAAGAGCGCGAGATCGTTCGGCATCGTCCTCGGAACGCTCGGTAGGCAAGGAAATCCAGCCATTTTGGAGCACTTGATGTCGCTCATGCGCGTCAAGGGTCGCGAGTATGTCGTCTTCTTGATCAGCGAGATGAATCCGGCGAAGATGGCGTCCATTAAGGGCGTGGACGCGTTCGTTCAGATCGCTTGCCCGCGTCTATCGATCGATTGGGGGGAAGAATTCGACCGCCCGGTCCTGACGCCGTACGAGGCGGAGGTGACGCTCGACAACGTCGAGCCGTGGTGGCTGCTTCCGGGAGTCGCTCCCGGGGAGGAAAACACCCCGTACCCGATGGACTACTACGCCAGAGATGGTGGTCCATGGAGCAGTAGCTATCACAAACAAACCGGTAAGGGCGGGAAGCCGAAGCGCGCGGCCGTGCACATCGAGACCACGGCGTGAGAAATACGCTGAACAGAAACTCCCTAGCACATAGTATCCTAGCCCGCGACAAAGATCGCGCACTCGAATCACACATCATTGTTACAACAAACATAGCACATCGTACACAGCGCATACACCGATCGATCGAACGATGGACGCTCGCGAACCCGTATCGTCCTAGTCGCCTCCGCTCTTTGTCGAGTACCTCACCGTCTCCCCATCGCTCGCCGCGACGAGATCGTACGTCTCATCGCCCACATCGTGTATCTGCATCACCTCGCCGAACCACTTCGCGTAGACGTACCGCATGGGCGCCCCTCCGGTGTCGTCGTCCACCCGCTCGCTCACCACAACCTCCAGCGTCTCCCCAGTCGTCTCATCCCTCGCGCACTCGTGTAACGCCGCCAGCGTTCGCGCGTACGCGATCTCCCTCCGTACCCTATCGCTCCCGCCGCCCACGATCTTCCCGAGATCGTCCACGGCGTACATGCTCGGTCGCTCGCTCGCCGCGGCGCAGTGCCGGAAACACGCGAGCGCCCGGACGTCTTCGTCGCTCTCGACGTACCGCATCCCCACCCGCTCCAGCGCGTCCGCCGGCGCGCCATCGAGCTCCCTCGCGCTCAGACTCACGCGCGCGCGATCGCAATCACTCCTCCGAGCGATGAACAGCGCCCGTTTCGTTGGATTCTCCACGCAAAACCGAAGACACGCTCGGAGCAACAGCGTGGTTTTCCCACTCCTCGACGGCCCCACGAGCACGGTCCGCGCGCTTCCCGACCCCACCCGGTCGCCCCCTCGCGGTTCTTCGTCGAGCGGGCGCGCCAGCGCGTCGGGGCGCATCGGGGCGTCGCTCGAGCGTCGCGTTGTGGCCGTTCCATCACGTCATCGGCACACGACACCGCGCCATGTCTCGCTCGGTTCGCTCGCGCGTCGTCATCGACGGCGTCGAGACGGTGGACGAGATCGTCGTCCAGCCATCCGACGGTCCGGAGGGCGTCGAGCGGGCGCTGGTGGAGAGTAAATCGCGCGCGATGGCGACCATCGCCGCGGCGATGGGGAACGACGATGCGAAGGATCGCGATGACGACGACGCGCGGGACGACGAGGACGACGCCGAGGGCTCGGACTAGCGCGCGCGGGATCGCGTCCATCGCTCGAGCGCGTCGAGGCGACGTCGGACGTCGTCGGGGCGCGGGGAGGGGTCGAGTTGTAATCTACATGGAAACCTGTACGTGAAAGTCCACGCCACTCATCGCCTCGCGCGCACCCGCGCGCGCGCGCCGCGGGTGGATGTCCGGCGTTGGACGCGGACGCGCGTCCACGCTGCCGCACTGGATGACGTCGGGCGTCGATGGGGGCGCGAGCGGCGCGGGAGCGACGGAAAATGCGTCGATGTCGAAGAATCCATCGCATCCGTCGTCGACGACGCGTCCGACGTCGACGTCGTGGGAGACGCACCGCGCGCCGGACGGACGGACGTATTACTACGACCCCGTGACGAAGCGATCGACGTACGAGAAGCCGGAGGAGATGATGAGCGTGATGGAGCGCGCGGAGGCGTCGACGCGGTGGCGGCGGTTCGAAACGCCCGCGGAGAGCGATGGAAAGCCGGGAAGGGAGTACTGGGCGCACCAAGGGACGGGAGAGACCACGTGGGAGGTTCCGAGGGCGATCGTGGAGGTGAGAGAGGCGGTGCGAAGGGCGGAACAGAAGAAGGCGAGCGGAGGCGGCGAGCGCGGGGCGAAGAGCGAACCGGGACGGACGGACGAGGAATCGTTGACGATCGTGCGACCGACGTACGCGTCGGTGGAGGAGGCGAAGGAGGCTTTCAAGAAGATGCTCGCCGATCACGGCGTTCGTGGGTCGACGAAGTGGGAGGAGGTGGTGAATCGCTGCAAGGCGGATGCGCGTTTCGGTGCGCTCGGATCGACGGGCGAGAAGAAGCAGTGTCTGAACGAGTATCAGCAGGCGCGAGCGAAGATGGAGCGCGAGGCGCGCAGAATAGCGGAGAAGAAGGCGCGAGAGGCGCTTCGAACGCTTTTGGAGGAGCGGAGGGAGCGTTTGGGGTTGACATCGAGCTCGAGGCTGACGAGAGACGGGCCGATTGAGGAGGCGCTTCGGGACGATCCGAGGTGGCGAGCGATCACAGACGCACGCGAGCGGGCGGACATATTCGAGGATTTTACCCGCGATTTACGTATTCGAGAGCAGCGTGAGCGCGAGCGGAGCAAGACGAACCGCGCGCAGTCGTTCAAGGAGTGCTTGTTGGAGGCCGGCGCGACGGCGGAGTCGCTGTGGCGAAAAATTCGAGGCGTCGTCCAGCACGACGAGCGATACACATCGTGCGAGCCGGTCGAACGCCTGGAGGTGTTCGAGAAGCTACTTCGTGAGTTACAAGTCAAAGAGGAGGCAAAGGTCGAGGCTGAGCGCGCGGCCACGGCGAGGTCGGAGCGCAAGCGAAGGGAGGCTTTCGTCGAGCTCCTGAATGAGGCGAAATCCGACGGAGTCATCGAGCCCAGGATGCCTTGGAAATCCTTCGTCCCTCGCATCGAAAACGACCAGAGGTACACGAACGCGTGCGAAAACATCGACGGCAGTCGTCCACGGGAGCTCTACGAGGATGTCATCGATGAGATCGAGGACGAGATCGATCAAAAGCTCGACGATTTCGAGGACTTGCTCCGGGAAGGGTACAAGGCGCGCGAGCTCTTTGGCAACACCACGTGGGAGAAGGCTGAAAAACTGTACAGGCACGACAAAGCGTGGAAAGAGGCGCCCAAGGAAGAGGCGAAGAAGCTCTTCGTGAAGTTCATCGCCAAGGTGTTTCGTCGTGAACAAGAGAAGGAGCGGCTACGCAGGGAGGAGCGCGACGGCCGCAACGAGCGAGACGAGAGGTCTTTGAAAAAATCGCGCCGCGATCGAAGTCGTAGTAGGTATTAACCGTCGAAGGGGAAGAACGATGTTATTGTTAATTCAGTGATACGTAGAATTCAAAAGCTCGTGAAGCACTAGCCCGTGAAACAGACGATTCGCTGACATAATTGGCGGTGACCCATCCGCGCCATCGCGAGCGGAGCGCGTCTCTCGACGCGCTCGCCCCTCGCGTTTGCTGCTTTTTGCTCACTCTCCTCTCAAGTCATCTTCCTCCCCTTAATCTCCATAACACGCTGCCCATATCTGGCCGTACGTAATTTTCTTCTTGCTCTGTGTATTATGTCTTTCCAAAAAACTTGACGTTATTCGTGCGACGCTTAGTCGTAGCGGTCGAGCTTGATTTGCATCGGTCGGTGCTCGAGCTCGACGCCGTTGAAGCCTTGGATCGCCGCTTGCGCTTGTTCGCGAGTCTCGAACAAAACCGTACCCCAGCCCTTGGATCGACCGGTGTCGGCGTGGCACACCGCGACGGCGTTGACGACGTTGCCGACTTGCTGGAACACTTGTCGGAGATCTTCGCTCGTGGTCGTCCACGGCAGGTTGCGAACGACGATTTGCAAACCGCTCGAGTTCTCCGGTCGCGTCTCAACGCGAGCGCTCTTTTGTCCCGCGCCCGGTCGCTCGACGCGAACGATGATGGATCGACCTTGAATCTCAGAGTTGTGCATTTGCTCGATCGCGTTTTGCGCCTCCTCCGGCGTGGCGAAATCAACGAGCGCCCAACCCTTCGATCGGCCACCGCTTTGTCTCGCGACCTCGCACTGAAGAACGTTCAAGCCAAAAGTCGCCGCGTGTCCCGTCAACGTCTCCTCGGACGTTTCCCACGCCAAGTTTCCAAAGTAGCATCGGCAGCCGTCGCCCCCAGCCGGGGCGTCGCCCAGCGTCGACGCGGACATCTTCTTCGATCCACCCGCGCTCTTCGTCGGCGCCTTATCCTCGCGCACGGTGATCGTTCGATCACCCATGGGGACGCCGTCCACCTTGCTCACCGCGTCACGCGCCTCGCGTTCGCTCGCGAACTCGACGAGACCGTACCCTCGCGATCGGCCTTGGCGTCCCGTCGGGATCTCCACTCGGGTGACGCCGTCGCACTCCGCGAACAGGGCGCGGAGCTCGTCGTCGGTGGTGCTCCAGGGGATGTTCCCGACGTATAATCTGTGCGCGCCGTCCATGCCGTGCGTCGTCGTGTGCCGCGCGCGCGATCGCGGGGACGGCGCCGCCGCGATCGATCGCGCCGCCGCAGACCGAGGCGTGTGGGCGAACAGTGTGCGTGCGATCGCACCGCGTCCGTGTGTGGGCGAACAGTGTGCGAGAGATGGTCACGGCGGGACGGCGACGCGACGGCGCGCGCGGCGCGCGAAGACGCGAGCGCGACGGCGATGGGGGCGCGCGGAGGTATTTTTTGAGTTCACTCGCGGTTTCGCTTCGGCGCCGTCGCGTCGGTCGGGACCCACATCGTGGCCTCGGCGCCGACGCGGCCGCGCCAGCGCGCGTCGATATCCGCCAGGTAGGCGACGTAGTAGCCGTGAATGAGCTCCTGTACGTACGGAAAGAGCGCGAGATGGTGCGAGATCCTTGGACGGCGATCCATGGGACGATATATATCGGGCTCCGTCGGCGGGTGAAAGCGGTCGCGACGCTCGTCGCCTTTCCGCCTCGCGTGGTCGCGAGCCAACGCGTCCAGGCCGACGAGCTTGGCGAAAGCCTTCGCGACGGCGAAGGATGGACAAAACACCGCATCCGTCCTATCCTCTCTGCGCAGCACGTTTATATACAGTTTTTGTCCCTTTGCGCCGACGATGCAAAGCTTCGCGCGGACGAAATCCAACTCAAAGGCGCTCCTGAGGCTCCCCGTGAAGCCGCACTCGTCGATGAGCTTCATGATTCGACCGCGCGTCTCCTCCGGGACGTCCGGTAGCTCCCCGGTGAAATCTTTGGAGGATCGCACCTCGTGCTTGGCCGTGGCGATGAACCGCGCGACTGTTAAATACGCGTCCTTTTCAACCTCGGCGCGCTTCGCGTCGGCGACGAGGTGCACGAAACCCAACGCCTTCTTCGCGTTCGTCTCCCCGATGCTCAGCGCCGTGCGGAACCTCCGGTACTTCGAGGCAGATTTCAGCTTCGCGCACGCCTGCTGGTATTTCCTCAGCTCCGCCTCGGTGAAGTTCGCCGCGAGCGTCGGGAGCCCCTCGGGAACGCTCGCCGCGGACGCCGCGGACGCGTCGCCCGCTTCGACATCCCGCACCCGGCTCTCGTACTCGTACAGATCGCGCAACGACGTCGGCGCCCGTTCGAGCGTCGACAGTTCCTCCCGCGTGACGTAAATGACCCGCATCCGCGCCCTCCGTCTCGTCCGCGGCGCGACGGTGGACCAACCGCCCCGGAAGACGTACACCGCGACGTCCATCGGCCCCGAGCGGTGCGCGCGCCACTCTCGGTGATCCCGGGTCGTGCACTTCGTGCGCGCCATCCTCGCGCGACGCCGCGTCGCGCGCGCGACGCCGCGACGCGGCGTCGGCGTCGACTGCGATGCGCACAGATATTTTCGAGCGCGTCGAACACAC